GGTTAAAATTTTTGTTAATAGGTTTGATTTATGATTTTAGATTTATAAATTTTAAATTAATAAAATCCGAAAAAAATAAAACGTTTTTATTTTTATTTGAAAAATAAGTTGATTTACTAATAGTCAACAAATATTTTTAAAGGCAACCTAATATAAGCTTTTAGGTGTTTTAAAAGCAAAATTAAGCTTTTCCAAGTTTCATAAGATTAGTTTATTGTTTTTCACATTAAAATAAAAATTCGTATTATTTTTTCGTTTTAGAAAAAATGGGTATTTTCTAGAGAGTTTTGTTAGGAATCTAACATCTAAAATAAGATTAAAATTAAATGTTAAATATAATTATATAAAGACATATATTGATCAATTGATTGACATGTATAGACCGATCAATTCATTGACAACTAATTTTCATGAATATTAGTTATTCGCTTAGTGGTCACAAAAACAAGTTTTGTTGACTTAAATATTTTTGGTTTTATTAAAACTGTAAAACATTTCTTCGATTGCCCTCAGGACCGTATACAATTCTCTTTTACTAAAATTCTCCCTTCCATTTACATCTAGTGTGACTTGTTGTGGTCATGTCATGCATTCTTTTGTGCTCAGATCCATTAAGGATTTAGTGGCTTATCTATGATCATAAATGCTTTATGTCTCCATAGATATAATCTTTCTTTCTATTTCTAATGCATTCTCTATTTTTCAATAGAAAGATCGGTAGAATAAAATCTAGCATAACAATGTTATAGTCACTATCTGATTTCTGGACATTGAAAAGCAAAAATTTAGGCGCATGATGACAATTCTGAATCCCTCCATTTCTATCGTGCGCGCATTGTTGTTTTATGTCATGTGTGGGAAAAACAGAAATTCATCATCAAGTTAGTATTTTTTGGGTGGTCCAACCACTCAATACCCTCTAAGCATGCACTCTGTCGTGGTCCACTTTCTTCGGTAAATTCATAACCTAAACCACATATTATATCTATATATAACCGCTTTCTAACAAACATTTAACGTGGCGGATCAGGATGTTAGAATGTATCTCATAAAAAATGAAGATGCATTTAACATACTAGTGTATAATAGTCAATAGACATGAATCAATCTATTTTTTGTTAATTAGTTTTGAGTTTGGAAACACATAATTTATAAAATCGGATGATGATGGCCTCACTCAATATACCGGCTGATTCATACATAAACGGTGATGGTTGAAAGTATCTCTTAAACCACATATTCTGAATTTCTAGCTAATCATGTAGTACTAGCTTTTTAAAGAAAGAGACCTAACTTCTAGAATCGGGAATGGTAATGGCCTCCATAATTATGGATCCATAATCGGTAATTAAGGACGTAATAATTATTCAACATATTCAAATTTATTACATCTGACCCACGCACACACAATATATAAATTTTTGTGAATGTAATGCAAACAAAATATCGGGTCATGTATTTACATAATTCCACATTATTTATGGAATTAGTGTGGGTTTAGGATCACCGTCGTTAAACCTCCCAAGAACTTGTTGAAGATGATGAGTCATATCCTCCGGTAGGTGAGGCTCGAGCCGTGGTCGGTCCGGCAAAACCCACCGTCCATCTCCGTTCTTGACCATCCCTTTGTTCTCGTCTTGTCTCCAACAAGGAGGCACATGATAATCACTTCTCAAGAAATCACAACTCTTGTTCACTAGAGCTATGTCTCTCTTTGTCACCAAACAAAACCTCTCTTCTTCTTTTCCATGATATCCATCAACCAAATGAAGCAGAGCTTCAAGGTTATGTGCACATCCTAAATCTTTAGTTTGCTTCAGAAACGGGCTTTTCTTGTGGTCCAAGGCAAGCTCTACGCCGACGTGCGCGTAGCTCCATGGGAATGATGTTGTGTCTATATACTTTTGAAACTGAAACTTCTCATTTGCAAATATCCCTGGAACGGTAGGCACCTTGTCGTGCACGTTTACCACTCTCAGGACTTTGATCCCTAGTTCTTCACATCGTTCCTTGAACCTCAAGTTACCTACTCGAGGTCCAGAGAATGAGAACACACTTATAGGAACTTTATAGTTGTTCTCTGGTATGTGATTCAAGTTCAGCTCCGCGATATCATAAGCACTAACCAAAGCAAGAGCTGCGCCAAGGCTGTGACCTGTCACGGTGATGCTTATCTCGCGACCTTCTTCTTCGGTGCCGTAGTACTCAAGAAGCCGTTTGACTTCGGCTAAAACCTGTTCACGAGCAGAAAAGGAAGAGAATTTGCAAGAATCTTCTTTCTTGGTGTACAAATCATGAAACCCTAATTCAATCTTGATCAAAGGGTCATCACCGAAGTTAGCTGAACAAAGAATGTCTTTTAAGTCGTAGATCCATTCGAGATAAGTGACTGTGCCTCTCCAAGCAATAACTATGTCACGTCTCCCGAGCCGAGCCACCTCTTCTTCGTCCGTAGCTATAGCAATGTAACCCATCCAATTCGCGTGTTGGCTCCAAATAGAGCTGAGTTTTGATTTCTGGAAGAAGTTTGGGAGGTTGATGTTGGAAGTGGCGTAGAGGTAACGAGTTATAGTGTAGCCTTTGTGGAGATTTAGGTCAAGGTTTGAGAAGAAATCGGAAGGATGGTATTTGCAAGAACCACAGTATTTTGAATGTGGATCAAAGTCGAATGAGTCGTAGCAAGCTTGAGCAAATTCTCCATAACGTATGATCTCTCTTCGAAGATGGTTGCTCATTGGATCTAGTAGTCCTTCCCAGTTATTACAACCTTGTACTTCTCTCCAAATTTCTCGAAGATCCACC